TATAGGATTTTGTATGTGAAGGAAGCTCTCCTAATATGCTGGAATATGTATTTTACATGAAATTGGTTGGAATTAGAGAAATTAGGTAACGAATCATTCCAAAATATTTAATTCATGCAGTGGTGGACATTTTATGGGAAAATAAACTACGTCTATATGAAGTCGACGTTCGAGTATATTGCCAAAGTCAAGTATTTTTTCAGAGTTGGACCTGTTCGTCCCGTTTGACCATATTTCAGATGTCATCGTTCTTGGTTGGTTGGATGAAAAGGTAACAATGATTTGGCATAAGAAACTGCGAATACGCTGCTTCGAACTCTAGGAGGCGCGTCTGATATGCGAAAAGAGTATCTTTCCAAAGGCAGTCAAAGGTTATTTTATGAATTTTGTTAGTTAACGATAGCTGTGATCATCGGCTTGGGGTTCTACCGTCAGTTCGTGCTTAGTTCAGATTTGTTCGGCTTGTGGAGACAATTCTTTATACCACCCCATTGAGCGCGTACTTCAAACATTCGATCAGCATGACTTTATGCAAAGGCTCCATACATCGCGCTGGCACGTGAATGTGTCGCTTGTTTTGTGTCGTTGTTTCACTTCCTAAGTTACCCGAGAAATTGGTTGGGCACTATTTGAGAGAGGGTCCTTCCCGCAATTCATGGTTTACAGTGGGGAAACATTTGCCATGTGCACTTTAGCGTTTTCAGTCGCCGAGATGTTTTTCGTTTGTAACATCCAGTTCCTCAGGCAAATATTCACCAAATTGCCTTTCTATAATTCGGACGCAAGCATCTATATTGCCCTCACGTTTTCGGAATACATTGTACACATCATCATGAGCTCGAGAGGACCTACCTAACTGTCAAGCCTTTTAAGCAGAACATGGAAAGATTGTATTGGGTGATTCAGATTATCGAGATTAGAGTGATAGACTCAAAGTATCGACGCGGAGCCCAGATTTGAACGGTGGGCGGGACCAATGATTAAGTTTTGAGAGTCTGCTAAGAAGTCTTATGGGGTAAGGAGTCCTAGTTGACGCCCTTTGATGTGTAAGGGCAATGTACTTGCATTGCGTGCCAGCATTCTAGCTGGGTACGATACTCTGACGGCAATATGGCCCGATTGGGGTCTTAATAATCCTTAAAGGCAAAGTTCGGGCTCAGACCCACCTAATGAGCCCTTAAAGTGGCTAGAAGCGCATGGGACACAACTGTAAGCGACTCGCCAAAACCCCGCATCGAAATGCGTCACTGAAGCGCTAGGGGCCAAGGACTTTGACACGCTCCTCCTGCCGCGACACGCTCCGCCCACCGCTCGATATTTTGTCCGCATCGCAATGCTGAGCTGCTATGCCCTCTCTTCTCGGATTTCTCTACCGCTCTCCGCGCTCACATTATCTCTCACCTCCCTGCCGGCCTTTTGAACTTCGCCGCAACGTAGAGCAAAACGATCGTATTTCCTGTGTATTTCACGTTTTCTTTTCCTTTTTTATTCACTGGGGGTCCACCTCCCACTCCCACATCACATTTGAGTACAATTACCTCATCAGTTTAAGCTTGAATCTTGCCTTTAAAGGTCGTAATATTGCGATTTTTATCTAGAGCATGTAGTCTGAAATGGGCTGAGAATCCGCCTTCCAGAAAACGTAGTAGTGGTACACGATCCGTCGAGGGTCCTGATGTTGAGCTCAATCAGTGTACCATGTTTCCGCGGCAAAATTTTCTGATACCGTCTATATAAGAAGATTACTGTGAGGTTTTCCAAAGAATGCAATGTTGCTCTGTCCACTGTGTTGGAAGCCATTCGGTTGGATTAGCAAAGTGTGGTTGAATCCATCTGAGCGTGGAGACAAAATGATCCCCCCCTGCATATAAATGCTGGTGAAAGATCGTTTTTACAGCGAAATTTTCGTACGAAATTCTGATCAAAAATGTTGCGCGCGCGTGCATATGATACGACCTCCAAAAGAGAAAACCGCTATTAGACGTCAATGTCGTCTATTTGGAACGCCCGGCAGATACGCACCATCTTGTGGCAGTCACGAATGTTAGTTCGTTGTTCTAGCGGTGGTTCTGAATTGTGTGTGTTTTGAAGGTATATTTTTGCTACGATGCTTTAAAGCCGTTCGTGGAGTTATTATGTTGGAATGGGGAGCATAATATCGTAGCGCTCGCTTTCGGCAAAAACGTTCAAAGCAAACCCGGAAGCAAAGCCAAGCATAAAACTAATTATTAACGTTCTTTTCGTCATTATTTACGACTTTGATCTCATTTCGCAAGAAATTACCGGATCCAGAATGGTCAAAAGCTGCACTTGAGCCGTTTCGAAGTTCACTTATTCTCCCAGTTTGATCACGACAGCGAATATGCTTAAAAAATTAGGATCGATGAATGCATGACTGATGACGATGGATTCTTTCAAAAATTCTTCCTATTTCTGGCCAGTTTTTTCTTTATATAGGTTTTCACACCTTGCTTTTCCAACTTTCTAAGCACCATATCTGAGTAATTTTACAATATAGAAGAAAACGACAACAAAGATATTGTAGAGCGGAAGAAGTACTTTCAAAAGATATGTGTGACCTCCAGGGTGATATTTGTATTCACCGAATAAATAGCTCGAAAATAACAACGCTACGATGTTATCGCTCCAATTTTGCGCTGTAGCACCATTAGCACTCCTACACTCATTTTCGCGTTGTTTTTGCGACATTTGTCGGCTTACTGCCGTGGTAGTTCAGGTCGTGAAAGCACTCCTGAATCCCCTCGGAGAAGACGACGATGACTTCGAATGCAACTTCCTTATTGACAAAAATATAGCAGTACGTTTTATCTCAGGTTTTACTATTTCTTTGATTGAGCTTTCAACAAAACAGAGACCCAGCATTCATACAAAAAAGGTAAACGGTCTATGTCAGACTATTTTCAATTTATTTATTATTTAAATATTTTGGCATGTGATGTTGTCGAATGGTCGGCGGAGCTCAAACGAGAGACTTCTGTTTAAATTTTTAACGAGTCCTTTTAATAAGTTTCTTGGAATGCTTTCATATAATGTCCGTAATGTAGTTCGAAAATGCTTTGATAGATAAGGAAGGCTAGAATCAGCGCGAGATTAAGGAGACGCGAATCGTGCGAAAAAGTTCTTTTTTATACGACCGGGCTCTCTATAGTTGACAACACACATGACACCTGTCAGATCTGCTTCCTGACCGCCTCTCGGATCCGAATTATCACCCGGTTTACTCGGAAGAAAGCCATCGCTGGGGTGGTGACAACACGTTGATCGGTTCAGCAGAAGGCATCGAGTTAGTTGCTTTTATGTGACTTCTGGAAACACTGCATCTCAGAGTGGGAGTCTCTAAAAAGATGCACTACGAATTGCGCTTTCGATTGAACGTTTTAGCCTTCAAACATCCATCTGCGAAAGGAATCAGTGCGGTAGAATGCGCATTGAATCTTCCTTCAAAGGCGCTGCTACGGTTGGTGCGCTCAGAAACGAAGGTGTAGTTCCAAAAGGGGCCGGCCAATGAGAAGAGGTCATCATCAGTCTGAAGGGAGTGGATTTTTAACCACGTTGGGAGAAATGCCCGCCCCTCCAACTCTTCGATGCCGGCTTTTGGAAGAAGTAGGGCAGTTGTGTGAGTGTCGAGTGGTTTATAATCAAAAAATGATAGAAGGTTAAGCATGACAGCGAGGCAGTGATCGAGTAATGGGAGATGGACTGGGCATTAGGGAGATTTTGTAAGCCCTATAGTTGGTTGGTGCTTGGGGGGGTTTCGCATCAACGCCTCTCTCGCAGAATCGCAGAAATCGTGGAAAAGTGCGAACGCGACGGTTGACCGTGATAACAAGGAGGCGCTGTGGCCCTGTATGCATTGGACAAAGATACAATCAAGAGGCATCAGGCGCCCAGGAGAGAGAAGAGGCGAAAAAGCACTGCGATGAGTCACGCAACAAACACGTCTGTTCCAGAAACTTTCATACGACTTTGATCTTTGTAATGTGAATAATAAAAAGTTAGCGGCTGGTCCTATACATTTACTGCCTTTGCTAAGAGCATCTACTCAGGGGAGGATTCTTTGTGGTGGTCGAAAAGGCCTCAGATATCATTCTGTGCCGAATTCCGCAGTCCAAATGCAATGTTCTTACATACTCATTGGGCCAGTTGTACAAAAGGGTAGGTGTGAAGTTCATATAGGGTTCGCCCAAAAATCTCATTGAACAGAGGCGTTTTATGATTTCCATGAATCGAATTCTCAGGTATGCGGCTGAGGTTCTCCAAAATTTCGCCACTTTTGCCAGATTGTTCAGGCCATGAAAGTTCCGATTGTCTTAAAACTGATTATCATTTTCGGACCGCAGCTTTGACATTTCGAAATTTGTAGGGTTTGCGTAAGCTCAGAAATACGTCAATAATAGGTGTCTTGGTCGATGTGGGGAAACATGATGAAGGTAGGTGAAAGGCTGTAGGGTATAGCCCCACCTGAGCCTGTTCATGTAGATCAGATTAAATATTTCGAGACAAACGCCATTTCTCATTCCACTTGTAGCTTTCCGATGATCAGGTCCAAAAGTTTTACAGGAAATGTTTCCGGTTCGCGTAGGCCCTCGACCATCGACAAAATCTCGGAGTTCTTCAATGTACCGTAACTGTGACTCTCTTGGACCAAAGCCCAGCAATAGATGAAATGAGCAAAACGTTTCAGGCGACGCCGAAGTTCAGTTGTTCCTGTTAATCAAGGTGCTGTACATTTGGTGAACTATGGTGAAACTCCCACGCGAGGTGCGTCACGAACCACAACACGGATTAGGACGAGTTCAAATGCCGCCTATGAATTGAACTCCACTGACATTCGTGTGTGGTTCTCAAAGTCCAACAGAAGAAAGGAGTTCTATGAGTGCTCAAAACTATTGCGAATTACCCGTATGTGGTTCATTAGTGAGAACCGCCATTCTCAAGTGTTATACTATCTTCAGGTGTTCAAAACCATAAATCCAACAATGAAGACAACCGAAATCATAAAACCAGCAATGCAGGGTTGGAAAAAATCGACGAGAAAAGTGGTTCCCGACAGAGCTCCATGGATAATGAGGTTGTTGATTTGTTTATAAACCAACTTTTTACAACTAACCTATACGATCAACGAATTTATTCTGCTAAGGAGCGCACACTAATGACCCTAGCAGTACTGTAAGCATGGGTTCATATTCACTCTGGGATTTTGATGTATGTATGTTATACTACCGCTACTGTTAAAATCGCCTCACCATTTGCCGCACGCGACGCTGCACGCCGCATGAGCGGCGTGACCTCATTGGCCGACGATTGAATTGACCGTCTCCCCTACCTGCTATGTACCACTCTCCCACAGAAAGTTGCTATCATTTCTCAGAACAGCGTTTATCTCGCTTTCTTTTGAGAGTATGTGAATTACAGGATAAAACGGACAAAGATTCTCGTTACTGAAGCCTCTCAACTTCTTCCCGTGCATGGTGATGATTACAGCAGAGCTTTCTCTATTTCTCTTATCAACTTTAAAAGGTATCGTTCACGGGATTTGGCATTATCGGAAAAGGGGGGGGGGTCGCTTGTGAAGAAGTAATGTGGGCATGGCTAAAACTTTCCTGGACAGACCATGTTTAAACCTACATGCAGGCAGTGTGACTATCACAAATGCGCCTGATTTGGGCAGCCATGCGTTGTTGCTAGTCATTCGTAATAACTTCGCGGGATTGAGGGCATTTCAGATATTTTTCAAATTCTTTTTTGTAATGAGCAGCGGATTTTCATTTGCTTTCTATATATTGTAACAATTTTACATAGGAATAAAGGATAAAAAGGATAAAGCATTTGCCGTTGATCAATCCCTTTTTGGGATGCGGCACGCATTCTACTTCCATTTGTACATTCGCAGTGGCATTTGAATGCGATGTGGCCTATACAATGACTTGCGGGGGCCAGCCGATGTTCAAGTCAGTGTTTTTATCCTCCCAGACAAGTCTGGTACCAATTAACCGACCCCGGAGGGATGGAAGGCTTGGTTGGCCCGGGCGACTCACGACCCAGGATTTGATCCCCGGACCGCTCGCGTGGTGAAGCGCGCCACTTGTCACTACACCACTTCCGCCCTAATTTATAAGGTTATTATAATGTTGCTGATACTTTTGTGAACAATATCTTTAAAAAGAATTATCTCTATTTTGTGATGAGAAGATACATGCTTGATTTATTACTGGTATATACAGACAGGTTTTATAAAATCACTCAGCTTGTCATTGAGAAATATTTCACAGTAATATTTATCGTTTTCCTCAGTATTAATCGTGAGCAACCATTCTTCGTGATAGACCTAGATCATAATTGTATTTGGCTGAAGATAGACAGTTTCTTTGTGGCTGTTCAGCAGTTATATCTTGTATAATTGTAGTAGATTTCAGAGTTGAGAATGAAGACTCGTATTTCTACCAGTATTTGATTAGAGCTATAATAAATATTTTTTAAAGACTTGATGCTTTGCTGCTCAAATCTCCGAGACGAACGAGATCTCAATGTTGAGAGAGTTTTTAATCATAAATGGAAGTCCAGATTTTTGAGAAAAGCTATGCGTGAAGCATTCATTGAATTTTCATCATAGTTCGGTGGAGTGAGCCTTTCCAGTTTCCTTCCGCAATGCAAGTCATCGTAGTAGTCACAAGAGAGAGAATGGAAACTTACATCGTACTCAGAAGTCGATGGAGACAACACTCGTCCTGAAGGCTCCGCCCCCTCGCCGCACGATTGGCCGCACGCGGCGGCGCGGCGAGCCATCGATTCTGTTGACCGTATCCCATACAAAACATTGATAGCTCGAGTCTTGCGAGTCGCTACCCAGATTTGTTAGCGGCTTGTTTGTTCCATTAGCTGCCTTATAACTCACTTCATTTTACCAAGTTAGCCGTTTATAAAATAGAGGGAAATCTGAACCAATGTGAAGGACAAAGACTGCCTTATTTCTCTACGTAGTCACCATTTCGGTCGATGCACTTTTGCAGACGCTGCAAGGCAATTTACAATGCCCATGCAAGCCAGGTCGCAGCCATTCACACTTACAGACACGCATGCGCGCCCTGACACCACACGTGTCTCGAAGATAAAAAACACCTATCTGAACATTGCTGGAAACCTATTCTCGGCTTAGCAGCTACGCGCAAAGGAACTTTTGTGATTACTAATGCTAGAGAGCTGTTATTGGCTTTCTAGAAGAAGCGGTCACGTGGACGTCTTTCTTTACGTTGGCCAGTCTATGCCACACAGAAGAGAGAGGAGAAGAAAAAGAAAAACGTGTATAATCGTGCATCTCGAGATGGCAGTACGCTGAACAACTAAGGCTCAAGACCGTGAGCATTGGAAAAGTTGGGCTAAGTAATTGAATAGTCGCTCTCTAAGTACGTTCAAGCGATTGGAATCCAGTGGAATGGAATTTGAAGGAAAACGAGAATGGATCAGAGAAAGTAGATTGACGCCTTACTTAAAGGACGAATTCACGATGAAAAAGCAACCCATTTCAAATTAACCTAGGGATGGTGAGTGGTACACGAAAGAAGGAAGAACCATGAGAAACGGCC